CCTATAAAAAAAGTTTGTTCAGTTATTGTAGGCATTGTCCAAAAAAATGTTCAGAACGGAGTCGATTTTCCGAACAGAGTTTATTTTTGTACTGTTTTCATATCAATATTTGTACGAGATATAAAAATAGGAAATTTTTGATTAAAAATTATCGTATAAAAAAACTACACCAGAATCGCCAACAAAATTCAACTACACCAACCGCACCTCCAAATTTTCTGCGTAGTCACGTGATATCATGCATCTATGTATCACAAAATTAATAAGTTTCAGCTATTAATAGAAAATATATAAATCTGTAATTAATAACTATTTAAATAAAAATTGATGTGATTTTTTTTTTAAGTACTTTTTTTATACATAAATAAAACTATCAATAAATAAAATTCATTCAAACAAAACTGATGTGTTGCAAAAATGTTCAAAGTGTTAAAAGTTTTTATCTAAAAATCAATTTATTAAACCTACTAATAAAAAAAATCATGATTGTAATACTTGTGATTCATGCTATCAACAGTCATCAGTTTATTATAAAAAATTGCTTGAAAAAAAATTACTTGAAAATGTTGACAATAAGGAAGAAGAAATGTTACTTTCTAAAGAGATGGCTAAAAAATTTTATAATAATATTACTATAATTGGTTGTGATGAATACGTATTTAGAGAATGAATCTGCTGAAATCAAATTTAAATGCAATATTACATTAGATGATATTAAAGATATAAAAGATAGTCCCCAAGAAATTTCAAGAAAGATTGCTAATTTAATTGGTAATAGTGACAGATACTATTATATATATTTAAATAGTACTATCTAAAAAAAAAAGTTGAGCAGTATACAATCCAATATCGTTGCTTTCAATATCAAAATTTGGCAAAAAAACTGTGAAAGCATCAAAATCTTGATCACCAAAAAGACTGTGGATCAATTGAATGATTTTACTGTAAAGGTACTCTTCGAATTACTATAGATATGATGAATGACAATACATTTGTTTATCTTAAACATAATATTCTTTATCAATGATCTGAAAGAAATCATATAACCAAAGAAATTAAAAATAAAATTAAAGAAAATCTTCAATTAGCCTCAAGTGATATTTATAGTATGTTAGAGCAGAATTTTTTAGAAATAATACAAAAACAGATTCATGCATAGTGAACAGTATTTATTCAAAATGAGTTTGTTCATGATATTAATCAAGTTAATTCAGCAAAAATTTTTTTAGATGAACATAATTATTGAATTATGGAATAAAACTTTTAGGTTTTATTACTTCATTTTTGACAAATTTAAAGAAAATAAAGAGATATTCGTAGATATGACTTATAAAACAAATGCATTGGGCTATGAACTTTACTCTGTAATTGGTCAATATGATGGTTTAGGCCTTGTATTAGCATATTTGTTTGTTAAAGGATATAAGCAAGATAAAGTATGAACAGAAATTTTAGCTGAATTTTTTAAAATACTACTCGACTTGGGAATAAACAAACTTGTATATTTATATACCGACAAAGACTTTGTACAAATTTTAGCAGCCAAGCAAACATGGTTGAATATCAAAATACAGTTATGTTACTAGCATTTTAAGAGAGTACTCAAAAATAATTGGCAGATAATTCTTAACCCAAAAAAATAATCTATAGTTCTTACAATGCAAATAATTCATTTGACTTTATTGATATTAATTTTTATCTTGCTGAATTACAAAAAAGCAATTTTGCTTTTGTCTAAAAAATCTGTGGCCTCAAATTATTCACTTATGGAGTATCATATGTATTTACATTCTCTTATTTCTAATTTGAAAAGGATTTTTAGTACAAAATATGAAATTTGGAAACAATACACAAAAGAAATATATGATTTTTGTGTTACCAATGATCTTAGATATCTTTGGTCCTACTTGTAGACTAACTAGTATCATAATGAACTTTGGTAGCTTTAGGTCTGTTCTGCAGTACAAGATAAAATTTGCATTTTTCGTATCACTATGCTTGTTGAATCTCACTAGAAAGTGATAAAGTGTAACTTCCTACATAAATTTTTCAGACTAAGACTCGATTTTGTAACTTATATTATTGTTTTACAACTTATTCCACACCAACAACAACAATATCATAAATATGTTTATAAACGTGAAAGACCTTCATAGTATAAAGACTTCAAAAAAGAATGAAAATCATTAACAAAAAAGAATATCAATAATACTTATATAACTGATGTCAAAAAATGGCTTTGTAATTATAAAGGATTTTTAATAAGCCAATTTTTTTATACAAGCACTTAGTTCGATCATCCTTATTTACTATAAACCCAGCAGTTTTTCTTAATATATAGCAACAAGATATCTATCTATTTATCTATTTGCCAAGTCAACAAACTACTGCTCAACTATCAAATAATATATCAAATAATTTATTTTCAGATAAGTAAATCTAAACTTTATTTAATAAATTTATAATACAATTAATTAATTAAATATTTACTTTAAATTAAATGTATTGAAAGATATTACTACCAATACGAATAATAATTTAACATTAATATCAAATAATATATTGAATAATATATCAAATAATTCATTTTTGGGTAAGTAAATCTAAACTTTATTTAATAAATTTATAATTTATATGATTAATTAAGAGAAATATTAATCCCACTCTCTATTTTTGTTAATAGCACTCCTATATAACCCTAACCGGTCTAAATTTTTAAAAATTCTACAAATAGTATTTAGAAATAGTATGAATTTATGTAATTAACTAGTTAGCAGTTAGGGTAAGAATTGTTTATAAAGTTTTCAGAAAGGTTAAAGGTTAATTAGAGTTATGTAGGGGGTGGCATTAACAAAAATTGGGGGTGGCAATAACAATTCTCTTAATTAATTAAATATTTATTTTAAATTAGATGTATTGAAAGATATTACCAATACAAATAATAATTCTGATCAACTTTTTAAGAATTATAAATTAATATTACAAGACGCGCTATCTATTGTATAAGAACAACACAAAATTAATAATTTTAAATAGATAAAAGCTGTTGAAAAAAGCTTTGAGGAAATTAATAAGTTAGTAACAGATATTAAGGCATATAAAAGAAGAATCAAAAACCTAAAAACATAGAAAGATAATAACAAGCATATGATGTATTTGCAATTTTAAAGGTTATTAAAGATTTTATTTTATATTTTTTTTTAATTGTATATTGGCAAATATTAATTTTATCAATTAAATTAATAGTTATTATAATATTAATTATAAATGAAACTTTCAAAAGGTGCTGATAAAAATTTTGGTATAATTTGATTAAAAAATATGTTTATTAAATTTCAAATTTAATTTTTATTTTAGAATTATATTATAGACCAAATAGCTACTTAATAAAACCATTATTTTTTAAAATCTAATCATTATACTTTGCTGTTAATTAATATAAGCAAAAAAAAACTATTATAAATTTTAAATAAAATTTTTTTTTTTGCTTAATATTATTAATTTTCAAATGCTGATTCTTACCAAATTCATAATTGAAATTCTAATATTTTGTTAAGCAATCATAATGATTTCTTTTATATTATTATATTTCTAATATAATATAATCGAATTTGATTTATTGGAAAATAAAATACTAAAAATAAATTTGTTTATTGCATTATGAATTAGGATTATTCAATAAAAAATTTAAAGTTGAATATGAATATATTTATTTATATATGTTTAAAGCAAATTTTTCAAGTGCTA